CACTTTCCTGTGCCTAGTGCGGAGATCGTGGACGAGGTCCACGATGTCCGCACTAGCCCAGGAAGGTGCCCGCCTCTTGCGGTCCAGGGCAAGCTCCCGGGAGCCGCCAGCCTGGTCCCGGCAAGAGGGGGTGGGCTGGGGGGCATCGGGTGGGTGGCTCTGTGCCGTGCCAGGTGCAGGGTCTGCTAGCTGGGTGCTGGCAGGCTTGCACCTGGCACGGGCACCGTAGCCAGCCCGTGCCCCTTTAAGGGGTCCGGGGCCGGGAGGGGGGCATAGAGTTTCCCTGGTGTTGGCCAGAGTGGCCACCAGGGAAACCTGGGAAGCCTTAGCCTCCCACTAGTTCGAACTAAAGGGCTACACAGCCCTTAGTTCGAACTAGCTAGTTCGAACTAGGCGTTAGTCCTCGTAAAATGAGGTTTACCTAGTTCGAACTAAGTGCTCCGTTAGTTCGAATTAAGTTCGAACTAACGGAGTGCTAGTGTAGCGCCTAGGAAAGTTAGTTCGAACTAACGTCCGTTAGTTCGAACTAACTTTCTAGTGTAGACATACCCTCAGAGATCCAGTGGTGGCAATAAACTGCTGCCTCCACCCTCACCTGGCTCAGAAATTGCACCCAGGCAACCAAGCATCCTTCAGGGTGCCAGTGTCAGCAGCCTCCAGCTGCCCCTATCCCTCTGCTGCCTTAGAGATCCAAAGGCAGTGTGCCACTCAGCTCCTGCATCCTCCACCCTACTGGCCTCTCACATCTAGTAATGGTGGAACATGGAAATTCCCCCTGACGCCCTTAGGGATCCAATGTTAGTGGCACCTGTCTGCCCCCTCCTCTCCCTGTTGTCCTAAGGGATAAGGCTGCTGTAGCATCTGGCTTCTCCACCTACCCAGTGGCTGCTTTCGGAGATGAAGTGGCTGCAGAACCTGATTGTTATGCTCTCCAGCTGGAAGGATTCTGTGAAGGGAGCACCCATCATCCCCAAACCAAACAGGCCTCAGAAATCTGTAGATGGCTGCACCAGGTTACCCTTACCCTCCAGATGACCCGATGGATCCAGTAGTGGTGGGGCACCAGGCCCCGGCCAGTGCATTGGCCAGTCTCAGAAATCCAGAGGTGAGGCACTGGCTGCCCACAATCCATAAAGATGGTTTCAGGGATTCAGTGGCATTTGCCCCACTCCACTCTCCCATACCCATACTCTTCTGGCTGTGGTGGTGGCAACCAATTGCACCCATGATCCCCTCCATATTGACCTAAGGTATCCAGCACCTACTGACCTCAGGTATCCAGCTGAGAGGTCCAGCTCCAGCACCAGCATCTCTTCCCATCACCCTTGGGTTTTCTGTGCAAAAGTACCCAGCTATCCTCAGCTGTGGGCATCCAGTTGTGGTGGCACCCATCCACTGCCATCCACCCATTGGCCTCAAGGATGTGGTGATGGTGACATCTTACTGGCCCCCGACCGCCTGTTGGCCTTAGGGATTCCATGGAAGCAGCACAGATCTAGTGGTGGTGGTAGTGCCAGGCTTCTACTAACACATGAGTCAGTCTCAGGAATTGAATAGCAGTGGCCTCCTACACCAAACAGCAGCCGCCTCAGGGCAGTAGTGGCAGCACATAATTAACCCCCTCATTAGCCTCTATGAAAAGATGGTTGTGGCATCTGACTCCTCCCCCTCCTGTCCAGGGATCCACTGGTGGCAGCACTCAGCTACTTCTGCATTAACTCTGTGGCTTTCCTTAGAGCAGTGTTTCCCAATGGTATTTGGCCACGGAACCCCTAGAGTTGCCTTAAAAAAAAAAAAAGGCCTCTGCCACATTTCGTTGAGCAAAAGAAAAAAAAAGCCCTTGCCATGGCTCTGTGTCTTTAACAGGGGGCGGGGGAGTGCCGGCTCTTCGCGGAACCCTTGCTTTCGCTTCACGGATCCCCAGGGTTCCCCGGAGCACTAATTGGGAAACACTGCCTTAGAGATCCACTGGAGTCGTCTGCATTCACCTGCCCACATTACATCCCATCAGACTAATGGTGTAAGAAGAGATGTCACTGATGCTCTTTAATACCCTTCAGAATTCCATTGCTTTTTGCTCAACAATTCTGTTCTGGGGGGCTTTCTTTTTTCCTCTACAATTCTGGTACGGCTCTTCGCATTTTTTCTGCCGCTGTTTTGGCTCTCTTTGTTAAATGGGTTGGCCACCCCTGCTGTACAGTGAACACCAGGGGGCAGCAAGAGGCCAGAGACTGGAACAGCTATAACCACATTGGTGCAGCAGGAGGTGGGGTGGAAAAAGGGACAGCTATCTACTGTACATTCCAGAGAGTTTGTCTGTGTGTCTGTCCCTCAATTGGGGCAGCCTACATACTGAACCCCTCATCTCCAGCCCCACCCAAGAGAAATTATTTGAGTTAAGGACCCAAGCAATGTCAAGTAAATCCTCTAGTTATTACTATTCTTGATTTTAAATTGCATTTCTAACTCTGTGTAAGAAAATTAAGGGTGACATTTTTAATAGGTAACAGCCAACACGGATTTGTAAACAACAAATCATGTCAAACCAATCTCATAGCTTTCTTTGATAGGATAACAAGTCTTGTGGATAAGGGAGAAGCGGTGGACAGGGTATATCTAGACTTTAGTAAGACATTTAACACGGTCCTCCATGACCTTCTTATCAAAAAACTAGGGAAATACAACCTAGATGGGTTTACTATAAGGTGCAGACATAACTGACTGGATAATCATTCTCAGAGAGTAGTTATTAATGGTTCACAATCATGCTGAAAGGGCATTACAAGTGGGGTTTCGCAGGGGTCTGTTTTGGGGCCGCTTCTGTTCAATATCTCCATCAATGATTTAGATGGTGTCATAGAGAGTATGCTTATTAAGTCTGCAGATGATACCAAGCTGGGAGGGGTTGCAAGTGCTTTGGAGGATAGGGTCAAAATTTAAAAAGATCTGGACAAACTAGAGAAATGGTCTGAGGTAAACAGGATGAAATTTAATAAGGACAAATGCAAAGTACTCCACTTAGGAAGGAACAACCAGTTTCACACATCCAGAATGGGAAGTGATTGTCTAGGAAGGAGTACTGCAGAAAAGGATTTAGGGGTTATAGTGGAGGACAAGTTAAACATGAGTCAACAACGTAACACTGTTGAAAAAATCAAACTTAATTCTGGGATGCATTAATATGAGTGCTGTGAGTAAGACATGAGAAGTCATTCTTCTGCTCTTCTCTGCACTGATCAGGCTTCAATTGGAGTATTGTGTCCAGTTCTACGCACCACATTGCAAGAAAGGTGTGGAGAAATTGGAGAAGATCCAGAGAAGAGCAACAACAATGATTCTAGAAAACATGACCTATTAGGGAAGACTGAAAGAACTGGGATTGTTTAGTTTAGAAATGAGATGACTGAAAGGGGACATGATAGCGGTTTTCAAGTGTCTAAAAGAGTGTTACAAAGAGGAGGAAGAAAAATTGTTCTCCTTGGCCTCTGAGGATAGGACAAGAAGCAATGGGCTTAAACTGCAGCAAGGGAGGTTTAGGTTGGACATCAGGAAAAACTTCCTGCCTCTCAGGCTAGTCAACCACTGGAATAAATTGCTTAGAGGAGTTTTAAATATCTCCAGCGATGGAGATTTCCACGAGAAGGTTAGACAGGCACCTGTCAGGGATGATCTAGACAGTGCTTAGTCCTGCCGTAAGGGCAGGGGGCTGGACTCAATGACCTTTCAAGGTCCCTTCCAGTTCTAGGATTCTATGGTTTCTTAACCATATGATAGAAATTTGCTCCTGGGCACACTATGCAATGTTTTGTAATTGTGTAGCTCCAAAGTACTCGTTGAAGGTTGGCAAGAAAAAAACTCCCTTTGAAATGTCTACATTTATTTAGGTAAAGTAGTGGTATTTTCCTCTTCCATTAGAAAACTGTGAACTATATAGATTAAAAAAATAATAAAACAAATACTGTGGCTGAGGTATAATAGTGTAAACAGGATTTTAATTATCTGTCACTGTATATAGGGAAGATTTTTCATCAAATAACACGTGGAAAGACCGCTACCCACTCTATATGGCCTCTGTCTTCATGAATTATTTGCATCAACATCTATTTATATGACATGGTATACTATTTGGAGCATTGCGGTTTCGTCAAGGTCTTGGATTGACTTATTTATATATATATATATATTTTTAAATTAGCAGTTTGTAGCTTTTGCTACTACATTGTATTCAACTTGTGAAAAATTCTGTATATTCTTGTAGAAGTTATTTGCAGTTTTTAATTTGTTCCAATTTAATACCTACATAATGTAATGGTGTTCTTCCTACAACTTATTTACACCAACCTTTTCTCTGGATTTGATGGCAAAATAGATGACAATATGAATTTTTATGATTCACCAGTTTTTGTCAATTGTTTCTATACTTACATTTGAAACAATACACATAACATCAATAAAATTACTTGGTTTGTACTGATAGAGTTTATATTGTATATCTTCCCAATCCATTTTTTTCACTTCAATATCAGCAAAAAGGCATAGAACAAACAATAGTTTCAGACAGTTTTATTTATTTTTGAACATCTATAGAAACAAACAAAAACATTAAGTTATTTCTAAACATTTACAAAAATATTTCATCTAGAGATAAAATAATGATCTTACAAATATTTCATCACAAACAAAAGAACCTCAACTAAGCACAACTTAGAATATCCATGTCTGGCAAGTACTTAGGCTGTAATACCAAAATGTACCTGTAGCCATGACTCATTTTCTTAATTTTCATAACTATTAGTTTCAAGGATTGTGATACTTTATTTTTTAAAAGTACTAAGTTAAAAGACCTATTTGCATACACTGAAAAATTCTGCACACTGATATGTACCTCTAACTCTAATCAATGGCAGAGTAGCTTACAATAATGAATAAAGAAATGATGGATTTTGTTCCACTATTTGACCAGATATTTTTTAGATTCTTTGAAGTACATAATCATAATGCATATTACATCAACGTACTTTTTCATCTCTCAGTTTAGAAAACATAGTTACTTTTTAGATATATAATTATTTTGGAAATAATTGCCTCATGTAGTATGTAGTATTGGTTCTGCTTTGTTAATAAATTCAGATTAATTCTGAAAAAGTGTTTAATCACTTAGTACTTTTTGAAAAAATAGTTATGAACTAGGTTAACTAGTTTAGCAGATTATTATTACAAATAATAGGAAACGTGTTTCAGTTTTAATATTTTATGAGCTTTGGTACACAGAACTACTCTACCACATATTGCAATATTCTAAACCAGAGAACTGCAAAGAAAGCGTACAACAAAAAATGTGCAAGTTTAAGCAATACTGAAACAAAACTACTGTAGAAATCTTTCAAAAAGGGGCCTGGACCATACAGCATTTATTTCTAAAGTAGCTATAAATATGTGTAAAAATATTTATTTATAAAGACTATAAGCATAAGATAGCATTGTAGAAAGACAACATAATGTAAAATGAGTGGACAAGTAGAATATTTCTTTAATATATTTTGTAAGCCATTTTTATCTGTGACTGAATATATACTTCATCAAGAAAATCTGTAGAAAAATTATTTAGCTGAAATGCTTACTGAAAATATATTGGCAGATCTATCATTTAAAATATGAAATTATGTACCCCAAACAGTATTACAAACATTTTATTTTACACATTACATCTTGTCTTTAGTGTACTTATGCCACACCCTTTAAATTAGTATAGCCCCATGGTACTATTTCAATATTTGTGGCCAGATATTTTCAGTATCACCAGACACTTGGCAGTTGAAAACAGTTTTACGATGCAATTTACAAACTTAATTTTATGGCCAATCATAATGCACAGAGGTGTATTACTGACAAAAAGTTTAAAATTACTATATCAAACTAATAGTTACAAATTAATTACAAACTTTAATAGTTTACGCTCAACTCAGTTGATAAAGAAATTCTTCATTTATTTATTTTAAATGAAACCTCACTTTTCAGAAAATCAGATTCGCTTTGAAGAAATAAAAATAATATAAAGAAACAGAGTGACTGTCCTTGCATTTAACTTAAAGCAGAAGAGTACTCTTAATTGGGCAAAGCGAGCCTCCTTAATTCCCACACTTCAGTTTTATCATTTGAATTTGAAAATTTGAACATGCTGCATGTTGAAAATTAATCAGCTGCCACAAGACAGAATCACAGACATGGGATACAGAAATGACCCATTATCCCTATTCTCTTTCCCATCACTTGCTACGTCCATGATCTAAAAAGGAGATGGTTAATATACTCCAGTCCTGACCGCTGTTCACAAGACTGCTCCAAAATGCAACTGCCCCTTGAAGATATTCGCTAGCTGGGGTCACTGGCACACAGTGTACAAGCATGAAAGCAATTGTGTGTGAAAGGGTAGACAGAATACCTTCATTTCTACTTGGAGATTATTCCTCACACAGCTGTAGTGCAAAGGGGTCATAGATAACTCAGTGACGTCAGCAAAGTTATCAAAATAAGTTTAAACAAATGGTAATTTCAAAGAATTATAGTAATAAGCAATGATTGAATTGTGAATTTTTATTTAACCAATTTTGAAATCTAGTAATTCTTTCAATTTCCTTTTATGTCCCATAATCAAATGTCAAATGTCTGTATATATTTCTGAATCAATATGTACCAGAAGACCCAAGATGAAACTGTGATCAGACCAGTCACAGAAGCACCGCAGCAGCATTTGTCGAGGACAACATAATCAGATCAGAATTTCTTGCCAAATATTGCATATTTTGTTCATACACTTAAGAGATTTTAACATAATTTAAACATCCTTTTGTACAAACAAACTAATACAATTAATGTTACTAAAAATGCAGGTTTCTGTTTTTATGCTGATTATGCAGATTTAAAACATGAGTTACTTTATCTGCCATAAAAAATTACCTTTCCTTTCTTGGATCTCAAACCAAGATTGTTTTAAAAATGCCCTCCTGATCCTCAGCATTTATTTAATACTACAGTAAATGAATTTCTTTTACAAAGATAAATATATAAAGGAAATAATTTCAAATAAATACCTTTAAAAGAAAACAGAATACATGATCAGAGGATTAAGCTGGTATATCATTTCAAGTACACAGGCAATTTCATTTCAATGGTCAGATTGCTGCAGTTTATCTTTTCACGTTCAGTAACAGCATTAGGAGTAAATGGTGATCACTTCACGTCCACCACCTCGCACTAAGAGAACTCTGTTCAGACCTTCTGTCAAAACTTCCAAAAACTCCATGTCTGGAGACAATCAAGTCAAGGTTTTAAGATTACAGGGGAAAAAATCACAACCTTTGAACATAAAACTATAAATACATACATACATACATAAAACCTCAATAAATTGTACTCTTGCATCCAAAGTGCAAGTGCAGAAGCCTCATCTGAAACTTGTCTAAAGTACTGCACCTAACACATTCATCTTTCATTTGCGAAGTGCTGACTCAACATGGTAGCAAACACGCAAGCAGCTTGCTAGCTCAGATCAAGAAGGAGGAATACATGTTGGGATCTATGCATTTCTTGTAGGATCCCACAAGAAGCGTCAATCAATAGATAAAATATTAAAATATTATTAAAGTATTTTATCTAACATTTTAGATAAACTGAACCCAAAGTATCAGCGTTACCCTCACATTGCTATCATCAAAAAAATCCACTTTTGGGCTCATGAAAACATATGCTGCAAGAGCTGTTCTTTAAGGCACACTTCCCACAAGTAAAAATAAAAACAAGAAAACCACAGTCCAAACACACACACACACACACACACACACACACACAGCCCCTATACGTATACAAACAAATACGTACATCCTCATTGTACTCATTCATATCAATTGCAACTTAATTTTTGAGATTGTTAATATATATGATATTGTTACTTTTTTGTAATACAGCCTATTTTCACCATTAAAACATTACAGCATAGGATACAGTTTTCATCCCCTTTTTTGTTTTTAGGAGGTCCAGGCATATTCAATAAAACTAGCTGAGCATGTTGTGACTTATTTAATATTACTCCATTGAGCTTCACAGCAGTGTGCATTCTTCTCACATTTGACTGATTCCTAGTACATAAACAAACTTTCTTAATGTAAAAATATTATTATAACCAATAACTATTTTAATCTGTACGCCTTACTTACATTTGTGAACTATGACAATTAACTGAACATGTCATACTTGTGATGGGAGATATTTAAAAGGGTAAAACTCAGATCACAGTACAGTACAGCCTAACTTCTCTAATTATAATTACTCATTGATTAAAAAGCAATCTTGACATTTTATGAACAGAAGGGCTGTAACTTTTAACTTAAAATCAGTAATGTTTTCCTTGAAAATAAAATGAAATATAAACATAAGTATTGCTTTCAGGGTAATTTTCTTTTAAATGACATTTAAGCCAAAGAGTGGACATAGATTGATAGTCCTTGATTCCTCGAAGTTTAAATTAGGGAAGAATTCAAAACCAGGATTTATAATGGAAATTCAGGAACAATCTTCGCTATAGTTTATCTAAATGCACTGTGGCAAGATTAGGCACATACACTTGGATTTTCCTTAAAATTCCTTTACAAATCCAATCATAAGTTATACTGCAGTGCTACAGGTTGGACCTCTCTCGTCCGGCACTCTTGGGACCTGGCTAGTCCAAAATGAGGGAATTTGCTGGACAATGGGAGGTCCGCTGACACCAGCCCCTCAGCTTGCTGCCCCTCCCCGCTACCAGCTCCTTCAGCCCGGCTGGGTTGTCTGTGGGCCAGCCCCAGCCCTGGGTCTGCTGCCGGCTGGGCAGCTCCAGCCCCCCGCAGAACAGCATGTTGCCTGATCGGGCTGCTGCAGCCCCAACTCCACTGCCAAGTGGCACGTGGCCACGCTGATTCTGCCAGGCTGCTGTGGCTGGCTTCCCATCTCAGGCTGCTGCCGTCACAACCCCAGCCCTGCTGCTGCATGGTAGGCAGCCCCAATCACGCTGCCTCTGCCACCACTGCTGCATGGGCTGCTGCAGCCCCGCCACCTCACAGGCTGACATGGCCCGGCCAGGCTTCTCCTCTTGGGCTGCTGTGGTCTCAGCTGTGCTCTGCCCAGGCTGCTGCGGCTCTGCTGCAGGCAGACTCATGGAGCTGCACCAGGCTGCTCCACTGCTGGCTCTCCTGCCCCGGGACTCTCTCATCCAGGAACTCCTGTGGTCACACCAGGCCATGGATGTTGCCGGACGAGAGAATCCTGGAATTGGGAGGAGCAACCTGTACTATAAAAATCATTAAACGAAATTCAGTTTGTAATGGGAAACTATCTGAGAAAGTAGTAAAGTGGTTAGTTGGCAATAACACCGAAAGGCACAGCCAGTAACGTTTTTAGTTCATCATCTCACAACGGGTTTGTTATAACACCTTTTCTCCTTGGTGTTTGTCTGTCTCTCTAGAAAGAAGTCTTATGGACAGGCATTTGCATTCATTGGTGTGAAAGGACAGAAATGGGCATAATAAATACAATGACCAGATATCAGAATTTACCAGGGAGTCTTGGGTATTGCAGAGCTGTCTCATTCTTCTGGGTGGTCTTACTGAAGTCAGTTTTGTCCTGCCTTCCGTAAAAATTATTAGACAGCTTGAGTGATTCTCACTGTGCTGATCAGTGACTCCCTCTAAGTGTTTTGTTTTCCACATTCACAGCTATCACTTCTACTCTCAACAGCTATGAAAAAGCTGCTTACAGTTTGCTTACAAAGGACAGGGATACCGGCATCTAAATGGCCACAGCCGAAGCTTTAAAACTCTCGTCAGAACTCTTTCATGGACTGTGGGTGCTTTTGGAAGGAAGCCTCTTTCTCAAGCAGAGATGGTGTCTTACATCAATGGGGATACTGCTGTGCTGCTAATTTCCATGTTTTTATTTAACATTGTCATTTTAATTAGATATCCCACAGCAGAGTTGCATCTGGGTGATGAGGCCCTGGCATGCTGGTCTAAATCAATGCCTTGGCAGAGTGAGGGCTGTCTAATAGGAAGGAATAGGTCATACCTCTCTAAGGGCTCATCTACACTGCAGGGCAAAAGTTGAATTAAGCTAAGCAACTTCAGCTACCTCAATTGCATTGCTGAAGTCGAAATAGCTTAATTCAGCTTTTGGCGCTGTCTGCACAGCAGGAAGTTGAAAGAAGTACAGTCTTTCTTCTATTTCCCTTATGCTTCATGAAAGGAGGCTTAAAGGAGTCCAAATAAGAAGTCCTCCAGCTCGACAATTATTTTGAAATAATGGCTTGCTCTGCAGACGAGCATTTTGTTATTTCAAAATGTCAGTTATTCTGAAATAACGCTGCTATATAGGTGTACCCTGAGTCTCCAGAAAAGCTACATATAAAATACAGCGTCTCTCAAATTTCTCTTGAGGATGAAGTTGAGAAGAGTAAAGGAAGGGAAAGACACTGACCACTAAGGTAAATTGCATAGCTTATTTTGAGTTAATTTCGAAATACAGCACTATTCCAAAATGTCCCTGAATTCTCATGGAATGAGGTTCACAGGGATATCGGAATAGCAAGCCCGTTATATCTGCAGCAACACTAGATTGTTAGCAAAGTCTACAAGTGAGAGACAGTCCCACTACTTAAGAATGAAGGGGAAAGCTGGTAAAAGAATAAAAGAATAAAATAATAAATAAATTGCTCATTCCTCACTTTGTCCTCCATTTCTTTCTGTTTCTTTCTTTCTTGATGTTTCAGTGTTCCTTCAAATATTCTAAAATCCTAGTCTCCCTCCCCTCTCATATCCCAAGTCTGGCATAAACATCAATAAAAAATAACCCCCAAGTTATTTGCCTTCAGACTGTTGAGCCCTTAGGATTCTTATTTTAAAACTTTTCTTTACATTAAAGTTGAAATTCTCAGTTTAATCACAATATTTTAAGAAAGATACTGTATCAGAAGGATTAGCAATACTGAATCCCACAGTAAACCCTACTTTTGGGGGCAGGAGGCAGTGGGGGAGTCCACAATAGCATAACTCCTTCAAAAGCCACAGGTGGAAGTTTTGAGGCACAGGGCCTATGCATTTTGCACAGGTTTAGAGAGCCAAAATGCACAGGTTTAGAGAGCCAAAACCTTATGCCAATTCCAACTGAGTCTCCCTCCACTCACATGCCTTCAAATTACAGCAAAATTCTGAGAACTGGATTTCTCATCCCACACATAAGTTTTCCTATAAAAGGGATATCAACACATGAAGAAATTATTAACTGGGGAAATTATTGGATAGGATCAGTGATGATGACAGATGACTGGCACTTTCTGGAACAAGAAAATACAGTAGAACTTCAGAGTTAAGAGTGCCCAGTGGAGCTGACAGCCTCACCAGGCCCTTGGGCAGAAGGCCTGCTCTGCGCCTCCTTGAAGGATGGGGCCTCGGGAGGAGCAGGGCTGGGGCTAGGCAGGCCTCTGTGCTGCCTGTAGTGCGCCTCACAGCACCCTGGCAGCAATTTATGAAACAGCTGCTAAATGTATTTGCCTCTGATAGTCCAAAGGTCTACTCACTATTTTGTGAGTATGTGGTTACATTTCTGGAGGAATCCTACTGTTTATCAATTGGGAAATGAAGGGTTTTTCAATCATATAATTTTTTAAATAAATCTCAGGAGACTTTTTTCAGCTCACAGTGCTATGCCATACCACAATCACAAGTCAAAATACATTTAATGTTTTAGGATATTAATTAGAAAAAATGCAGGTCACTTACTTTGGAACCAAATACTGTCAGATTTTTAATGAAAGACTCTGCAATCGGCTATAAGGACCATCATTTTTGAAAAACTTATCAGTATACTATGAATTATTCTAAAATGAAAAACTGATGAGGTTTAGGAACAAAAACAGAAAAAGATGACAGGAACTGCTACACTAATGATATTCACATGCCAAATCACAATATGCGCACAATATGCATACTCTAAATCACGGGAAGCGGCTACTTTAAAGAAAACATGCAATAATAATAAAACACAAGCACCAGGGAACACAGCCTATATTAAATCAAATTTGACTTACAGATTTTCCCATTCTCTACATGGAAGAGAAACAAACATGTATAAATACATTGCTTTATGCTCTCTGGTACATTTTTAAATATAGCAACTTGAGCTGGTAACACACTGTACTTCTTTAATGATTTAGACAGACCTTTCCCTCACTGACAAGTAGTTTAATTTTATAGTAATACCTAATTTAAAATGTCAATCTATGTTTTTGCATGATTCAAAAGGTCTGGTAACAGAAAGGAATTTTAACACCTCCCCCCCACCAACCGTTTAAATAAAATAAAAATCAGTCTCTTCTAGAGCTTTTGAACAGAATAGAACTTTAAAGCAAAACTCTGCCATAAACAAACTGATATTCTGAATTTGTAATTGATAAAAGATTTCAAAAGAAGCCACTTTCCTAAGTGACTTAAATTTCATGTTTAATAGCTTCTTAGTCCATTTGGTTTTCAGTTTTACCCAGTATTATTAAAGGTTAGTTCTTTTTTACTTAGGGTGCATCTACACTGCACCCTTAGCTCGAAATAAGCTACGCAATAAGAGCTACACAAATTGTGTAGCTTATTTCGAGTTAATTTCGAAATAGCTTATTTATAAATTTGGTGCTGTCTACACAGCGCATATTTTGAAATAGAGCACTGTTCTGAAATGTCCCTTAATCCTCGTGGAATAAGGTTTACAGGGACGTTGGAATAGCGTACCTCTTATTTTGAAAGTTATTTCAAAATAACAGGTGCACTGTCAAGATGTGGAAAATGCTATTTCAGGATAGTGGAAGTATCCCGAGATAGTGCCACTGTCTAGTGACACCCTTGGGTACATCTAGACAACAAACACTCCTCCCGCTCCCCACAGCAGTAAGACTCAGAGTCTAGGTTACCCAACATGGGTTTCCAAAACGGGGCTATAAACAATATAGATTTCCCTGCTTGAGCTGGAGCCTGAGCTCTGAAACCTGGGCTGGAAGAGGGACTCAGAGTCTGAGCAAGGAAGTTTATTCTGCAATTTTTAACTGTGTACTGCATACCGAAGTCAGATAACCTGGCCCCTGATACTGCTGTGGCAGTTTTTTTGCAGTGTACATATATCCTTAAGGTCTTTAAGGTAATCTTTGCAGCTTACATTTGTGGAGAAAGTCTAGTACCTGGCTAGAAGGGCACAGGGGACCCTCAACCCATTGTAACATACAAGATTGGGCCTAAGTCTATTTCATTGGAGTATATGACTGAATAGGGCAATGTTTACTTCTTTACAGTTACTTTCAATTAGAACAATGTGCGTGTATGTGAAAAAGGTTCCTCTAAACACTGTCGTAAGTAATGCAAATGTGTCTGTCACCTGTGTTAGTACTTACTGCATTAAAAATTAGCCTCCCTTGTTACTTTGCTCAGGGCCTAACATTGCAGTTAATTATGTATTTAAATACTTCCAGGGACTTAGTGGCACTACTCGTGTGTATAAAGTTACTGGAATGCATACATTTTTACAAGATAAAGTTTCAAATAATACCAGAAAAAAGAGAAAACCAGAAACTTATTAAAATCACACTTGTACTTACGGTTTCATGTTGAAGATATCTTTAAAACCTGTTAAATTTGTTTCTCTATTTTTGTGCTTTTCAGCTATTAACTTTTCTTTAGTCCAGGTCATCTGTACTTTTTCAGGAGCAGCAGCAGTAGCATCACACTTAAGAACTGCCGCTGAATGAGATGCAGTGTTTCTATCATGGATTAACTGAGCCTGACCAAAAAATAAATGGAGAGAACAGATCAAAATATAGTAGCGCTAGAGCGTTAAGGAAATTAAAATCACTGATCCCTGAACACCTCAATTAATGGCAACTGAGGGACTTTAATTGGAGCAGGATCAGCCCCAAGACTTTTACAAGCAATGGTGCCTTATACTGCAAACACATGCTTAACTCTAACATTGAAGCCAACAGTACCCGGATCCTTGAAATTATTCATTTGTATTTACCAGGCTCTCAGTGAGAGGCTTACTTTTATAATTAAAACTAAAGACACTTTGCTTTATCAAAAAATTGAGTCCAAGTTACAATGAAACTTTGGTTTCAATTTACAGATTTTCTTGGGAATTTCCTTAGGTGACTAGAGTACCCATTAAGAGTGGAAAAATGACCAAAATATATCTGCAAATATTTTGCAATAAGTAGCATTAAGAGAAATAACAGAAACAACACTGAAATGGTATCTGAATGGAAAAAAAACAGTATCGCTGTTTAGAATAGCAATAATGTCTTTTATTGCTATGGAACAGAAGTAATTTAAGATCTACAATCTTAAATCTACAATCTTGCATTAAAAATGCAAAGGGCGAAACAACTTTGTGTTAGAAATACTTGAATTTTATTTCACCTCTAAATGGAAATCAACACAAATATGCCTACAGCATCTAAAGTAGGTGGAATATAAAGAAACACCAATGTAATGCCACAAACTAGGATACCCATTTTTGGACATAAACACTTAAAGTGCCATATTTTCATCATAATCAAACTAAGAAGTAAATTGATGAGTGATGTTTACAGTGTAAAGGCTCTGATGTTTCACTAGATAGATATAAATATTGATGCTTTTTTTGAGAATATAATGTATATCTTGCGGGAGAAGGGGATTACACTCCAACAGTGAAATTGACTTCAGTGGGGACCAGAATTTCAAGATAGGTTTTGGACTATTTAAATGAATTTAGAGATGCTTTAGCACTTGCTATACTCTGCCATATACACAATAGACTTGTAAATGCAATCTTTATTTTAAATATTTTGATGGAGTAAAATATGCATCTCAATCAGACTCCTCAAATTCTAGAAATTACTTAAAGGAGAAGGGAGAATTTGAAGATATCTTTGCTACTTCTAGAAATTCACAAGCATTACTTCTCAGGAAATTCTAGAAAAGAGAGATGTAATATAGTGACAATTTGGGTGTGTCTAGACTACATGCCTCCTTCGACGGAGGCATGTAGATTAGCCAGATCGGAAGTGGGAAATGAAGGCGCGATTAAAATAATCGCGGCTTT